CCGATGACAAATCCCGACGCTTGCGCACCTCTCCCATTTAATCCCTGTCCGATGCCCGTGGCATGATGCGCATCAGCACTATTTGCCATTTTCCTCTTCATTATACTTATCATACATAGCTTCATCGTCCCCTTAGAAACACCGCCTGAGATATTGAGACATCGTCGGGTTGAAGCTACCCCCCGTATAATTATATATGTGCGATGTCCTAGCTAGCTACCACTGAGCAACAGTATGGTGAGTGGCTGACGAAAGGGTTGTCGAGACCTGCTGCGGCCGCTCTTACCCCTGTCGCAGAAGGCGATGCAAATGAAGCTGTACCTTATCGACTGGAGCACGATCAATGATCCCATCCGTGGAAGCTGAACATAGTTGTGCAATTTCTATAGCTACTTGACTTGCCATCTTTGGCAAGACTTTAGAGAACCAGCCACTCCCGAACTCGGCATTTGTAATCTCCAACCTGCCTACAGAATTTTGTAGGCGGGTTGGAGATTACGATAGCTGCGTGAAAGACAGACCTTGTGTTGGAAGAGTAAATTGGGGTCATGATAGGGCACACAATAGATGTCAGTAAGTATATATGTGACAAATGAGCACACAATGAAAGGAATACTCACAAATAATTAGAGGCCCACAAAGCTCGAAGAGATTCGAGACAGCTGACAAGCCTGCGGCGTGAGTGTTAGATGGCCAGGGGCGAGAGGACGAGTGAACTAATCACCAGTGGCTCTACTTAAGGCAACGCAATCGCAACGGCAGCACCAAATCACGAAGCTGCAGTATATATCGATGATCATGGTGCAGCCGGGGTTGATCCTCGATTATTAGGTGCATGCGTCTTGACTCCCAATGATCACCCGAGACAGTATAGCGTTGAACACTGTACTTCTCGAGAGCAGAGCATACGGATACGAAGGTGAACGTTCACAGCTGAGCGCCGTTAACTTTGGCGAGAACACAGTCATCTGACAGTCAAAATCGGAAGTCCAGAACCTCCCAGAACCAAGTAAAAATATTGTAACTCAGCCTAATTAGTTTCCTTATATGGGTTACTGATTATACCTAATACCAGGTGGCGCTTGCAGCACTTAAGTACATCTACATACCTTGCTTGATGCAGGCTCTATGTCACAGAAGTCAAAGTGTGGACTATGTGTTAAACTTTAGGCTATTATAGTCTGATTAGAAGCTTGTAGAAGCGTCCTAATGCACTCTAATTGCCTTGGTAACAATCACTAATGATGTTGATGCAATCAATCAATAATATGTAATGATTTGCGCTCTATTGACCCTTTGTGTCTATTACTCTAGACATGTATGGAAAATGACCATCCCAGGTTCCCACGAGTACTGTTCTGCGCGAGGCGTGAATATAGGTGTCCACTAAATCGCGTCCGAATTTGATTAGCTCCGGAGCAGCTTGGGAACATGCCAGACATCATTCTAATGATGGCTCCATGTTTCATTTTCGCTCCTTTTGCTTCCCTGCTGAGACCGAGGCGTTCCGGTGCCTGTTCCGGCGGTCACAATAGAGGTCAACAGACCTACTAATGGGGCGCTGAATGTGGGAACGTTGCATTGACCGTGGGAGTCGTGCGCTTATAAAGTATGTACAGATTGCTAAACAGTGCTTGCGCACTTTTAGCAATACTGTCAACACCAGTCATCCCATGATGACCTGGGTTGTCCCAATGGGTGTTGGCAGTGTCTATGGGTGGTCCCCAATGCGTGGGAACCGGGCGCTTAGCGTGCGACCGCACAGCGCAACTTTGTTATACATTTGTACAACAAGTGTGCACATCACTTCAACATCTTGGGAGTTTAGAGGATGATGAGGAGGGCTCAGGAGGAGAGGCAGGAGTGGTTGCCTGTTGGTGGAAGAGCAGAGGCGCCAGAACATGATGACCTTGCAGAGCAGGAGGTTGAACAGGTCAGTGGCAGCAAGTATAACAACTACTTCTCTGCTCCTAGGTTCTACTGCGTGGAGACCATCTGTGCTCCATGTGGTGTGGTGATTGCCTGGCGCAAGTTTGCCAAGTCGGAAGGGGTGGCCAAGATTCTTCAGTTACTTGAAGATGTCTATCCTGATCCTGCCTCACGCCCCAGCTACATTGCCATTGACAAGGGGTGTGCCTTGCTCAAGCACATTGTCAGGCAAGGGCACTGGCCTGCTTGGGAACCCACCACTCATATCATTGTCGACTCTTACCACTACATCAATCACCGGGTCACTGACCACCTCTGTCGAACTTGGTGCAATCCTGCACCTCTCAATGGAGATGCCCCCAACTTGGTAGTGGTTGATGAAGACAAACAAGGCAACCCATACTACAAGAGGGCCTTCAACACTCAGGTAAGTGATTCTACTAGCCAGCCACTTGTACTTGTCTAATTTGTTGTACTTAGGCTTGTGAACAACTCAATGCATGGCTGGGTGGGTTCCAGACAGTCCTCAACCGGATGACTGTCAGCAACTTTGACTTCACCATGCATGTGTTGCTATTCTTGCATACCCAGTGAGTGATTGCCAGGCAGGAGGAGAGGAACATTAAAAAGGCAGCAGGAATAGAAGAGGTGGTTGAGAGTGAGGAAAGTGATGATGAGGATATGATTGAGTATTAGATAAATGGACTTCACCTGTAGTATAGGTGGCATTCACCTGGTGTCTACCTGATGACATGACTCTGACATTGAGCACCATGTATAAGTGTGCAGTGATAAAATACCAGCAACCACTGTTAAACTTTAGGCTATTATAGTCTGATCAGAAGCTTGTAGAAGCGTCCTAATGCACTCTAATTGCCTTGGTAACAATCACTAATGATGTTGATGCAATCAATCAATAATATGTAATGATTTGCGCTCTATTGACTCTTTGTGTCTATTACTCTAGACATGTATGGAAAATGACCATCCCAGGTTCCCACGGGTACTGTTCTGCGCGAGGCGTGAATATAGCTGTCCACTAAATCGCGTCCGAATTTGATTAGCTCCGGAGCAGCTTGGGAACATGCCAGACATCATTCTAATGATGGCTCCATGTTTTATTTTTGCTGCTTTTGCTTCCCTGCGGAGACCGAGGCGTTCCGGTGCCTGTTCCGGCGGTCACAATAGAGGTCAACAGACCTACTAATGGGGCGCTGAACGTGGGAACGTTGCATTGACCGTGGGAGTCGTGCGCTTGTAATGTATGTACAGATTGCTAAACAGTGCTTGCGCACTTTTAGCAATACTGTCAACACCAGTCATCCCATGATGACCTGGGTCGTCCCAATGGGTGTTGGCAGTGTCTATGGGTGGTCCCCAATGCGTGGGAACCGGGCGCTTGGTATAGCGCAACTTTGTTATACATTTGTACAACAAGTGTGCACATCACTTCAACAACCACTTTTTTACCACCTGGGCACCACTTGATATCCAGATAAATACCACATATATATCACTTGGAGCCCATTTGGTTACCTCCTGGCACCCACCTGATATCTGTTGAAGTGATGTGCACACTTGTTGTACAAATGTATAACAAAGTTGCGCTGTGCGGTCGCACGCTAAGCGCCCGGTTCCCACGCATTGGGGACCACTCATAGACACTGCCAACACCCATGGGAACGACCCAGGTCATCATGGGATGACTGGTGTTGACAGTATTGCTAAAAGTGCGCAAGCACTGTTTAGCAATCTGTACATACTTTACAAGCGCACGACTCCCACGGTCAATGCAACGTTCCCACGTTCAGCGCCCCATTAGTAGGTCTGTTGACCTCTATTGTGACCGCCGGAACAGGCACCGGAACGCCTCGGTCTCAGCAGGGAAGCAAAAGCAGCAAAAATGAAACATGGAGCCATCATTAGAATGATGTCTGGCATGTTCCCAAGCTGCTCCGGAGCTAAACAAATTCGGACGCGATTTAGTGGACACCAATATTCACGCCTCGCGCAGAACAGTACCCGTGGGAACCTGGGATGGTCATTTTCCTTACATGTCTAGAGTAATAGACACAAAGAGTCAATAGAGCGCAAATCATTACATATTATTGATTGATTGCATCAACACATCATTAGTGATTGTTACCAAGGCAATTAGAGTGCATTAGGACGCTTCTACAAGCTTCTAATCAGACTATAATAGCCTATAGTTTAACAATATCCACATGTACACCACATGAATGCCACAAATATGACACATGAGCAGGAAAAAAGGCTAACTATCTGTGTGGACTTGTGTATATTTTTGCCAACACATCACTCTGTTACCACTTGAGTATCACATGGTATTCAGATGGTATTCAAGGGATGACCACACAATGCCCGCATATGTGCCACCTGGATATCACCTGGCAACCATCTGAATATCACATTTTCATCACTTGAACACCAGGTGGTGACCATATGAAAACCACCTGAACACTTGATGGATTTCACTGCTTTTACTAGGACATCTACTGCATTACCACATAAGTCCTACATGATGTTCAGGTGGTACCCAGGTGACTACCACAAAACATCCACAAATGCCACATGGTCGTCACCTGAGTATCAGTTTGGACTTGTATATTTTTTGAGAAATCTGCGAGTCACATTAATACCACATATACACCGCCTGGTCACCACCTGGTACCAGCTGAGCTTCTACTCTATGGCTGTAAGGGTATGTGTAGTACTCTAGTCACTTTTATACCACATGGTCTCCACTTGGACACCACATGGTCACCATCTGACTATGTCACCATTCTACCACCTGGGCACCACCTGAACACCACCTGGCTAAGAGCTTAATGGTGTTGTACTGTCTAGTCTACCCTGCCACTTTTTCACCACCTGGATGTCACCTGGTGACCACATGGAGACCACATTGACAAGTCTACTTAGTTTCATATTATATAAAGTGGTCTTGAAGTGGTCGCCAGGTGGTAAAATAGTGGAATAAAGTGAACAGAAGTGGAATTGAGTGGCAAAAGTGGTATCCACATGGTATCCATGTGGCAAAAAAGTGACAATCACTTGACCACATGGTGCCACGTGGGCGTCACGTGGACATGTGGTGGACCGCCAGATATACCGTGTTCGTATATCTCTTGTTTGAGGAGAAGATTGCGGCCGGGAACTGAGTACGACTCCGCTCCAGAATGCACATGCACAATAGTGATAAGATCCTGTGTTGGAGACATTGCCGCTGTGAGGCTACGGTGGTTTGCTTCATCAGTCAGTACCTAAAGCGAAGGTTCATATTCAAAGCTTACATGGTGTCTGAGGCTGTGGTAAAGACGGTCCATAGAGTCCCAGGACGCGAATCGTCGGTGGAGTAGGCACTGCGAGTAAAATGTCAAATGCCAAAGCAACGAAATAAGCCTCTAAAGACACATACACTGCCGCTGGAATGTTGTTAGGTAGGTTGAGCAGAGAAATGACAACCAGCGAGTTGGTCTCGTAGTAAAAAAGCTTCTGTGGATTGGTTCGAGGCCATATACCTAGATCGTGTTTGTGATATTTGCCTGATATATATATATATATGAGGCTCCTCCTGCTGAATGAAGGGCTTGACTTACCGAATGACCGTTGTTTGATGATCTTAACTTGCTCCCCGTATGCAACGGCAAACTGAGACCCTGACGGAGAAAATGCGATGTTGTATATCGGGCCATCGAAAGAGAGTCTATGGTAGGGATCCTAACTGGGGTGTCAGACCAATGTATATGCGTGCACAAGTTGGACTCCGTTCGCAAGTTGGACTCCGTTCGCGAGTTGAACTCGCGAATGAAGACATACCTTTGTGTGTGATCTCATATCTTTGTCAATGTCATATCCAATGACATTGCCATTGGAAAATCCGACGTAAACTTCTGATTCCTTGGGATGCCATTCCAAAGCTTGAATAGTGTTTGGACTACTTCCCGACTGTGACACAGTTTTGCGACGAATAATTGTGAGGTCTTGGGCATCATGAACCTAATAAATAAGATAGATAAGGTCCAGTAATCCGATTTCTCATCTCCGTAGTCACGTACCGTCAGAGTGCCGTCTAAATCTGCCACCGCAATCAATCTGTGGGCGGGAGATGAGTACTTGATCCTTGTAATGCAAATGTGCGGCGACCCAAGTCGAACTTTTGCTTTCTGTAAAGCAACTGATCCAAGGAAAGACAAAGGCATATATGTCAAATTTGGGGCGCGTTCAAAGTGGCTATAGTATGCTATTTCCACGAGAAAAGGAAATACATTTATAGTATAATGGAAACGGATTCAAACGTAAGTACTTGCATACATGAGGCCATAATTGATCGCGAGCTCGAGCCCGTGCGTTGCTTCACGTTGTAGCCTCATCAATGAGTTGAACTCGTTGATGATGCGTGCATACATGATGTGCATGGGCATGGCCCGACGGCCCCAATTAGCAGTGCAACATGTTGCCATGCATGGCGCCGATCGGCGGACTTTGAAATTGGCTTGCCTTTGAGGCGTGCGTAGACATTCCTTATAAGGAGTACTAGTCTTCACGAACTGTACTAGCTATAGGGCGCGTCAGCTGCCAGTGCTATAACGCTCCCGTCGATGTGTCTCGATCAGATCATCAACGAGTTCAACTCGCTGATGATCAAGACTGCAATGGAAGCCAATCTAGATATTTGTATAACACTACATGTATATATGTATACGTACGTACCGGTGAACATGCACATCATAGCACTCTCTTCAAGATGATGGCCATGGTGTTGAAGTGATGTGCACACTTGTTGTACAAATGTATAACAAAGTTGCGCTATACCAAGCGCCCGGTTCCCACGCATTGGGGACCACTCATAGACACTGCCAACACCCATGGGAACGACCCAGGTCATCATGGGATGACTGGTGTTGACAGTATTGCTAAAAGTGCGCAAGCACTGTTTAGCAATCTGTACATACATTACAAGCGCACGACTCCCACGGTCAATGCAACGTTCCCATGTTCAGCGCCCCATTAGTAGGTCTGTTGACCTCTATTGTGACCGCCGGAACAGGCACCGGAACGCCTCGGTCTCAGCAGGGAAGCAAAAGGAGCAAAAATAAAACATGGAGCCATCATTAGAATGATGTCTGGCATGTTCCCAAGCTGCTCCGGAGCTAATCAAATTCGGACGCGATTTAGTGGACACCAATATTCACGCCTCGCGCAGAACAGTACCCGTGGGAACCTGGGATGGTCATTTTCCATACATGTCTAGAGTAATAGACACAAAGGGTCAATAGAGCGCAAATCATTACATATTATTGATTGATTGCATCAACATCATTAGTGATTGTTACCAAGGCAATTAGAGTGCATTAGGACGCTTCTACAAGCTTCTGATCAGACTATAATAGCCTAAAGTTTAACAGCTACAAACTGGGAATTCTAGATTTTAGGGACAGCGAAAGTCATCTAGTGCATCCGACGTGACTGACCTGGTTTGCCACACGGTCTGCAAACCGGACCCGCGCCCGAAATGTGCGCGGGACCGGCAGGGGCCACAGCTGCTATATGCATATGTATTTTCAAAGCCTTTTGAATAAAGAAGGAAAGCGTACATTGTTGGCGCCAGTGGAAACAAGAGATACGGGCCGCGAATTCGGAGTAGCTCTGTCTGGGCTCTAGTGGATATTCGTCAGTACATAGTGTCTATTTGTGAGTAGTGAGCGCGAATTTATGAACATGTACACGTACGGCTAGGGCTATAATAGCTAGTTAGAGCATGGCCGTGGCCATGGTGTGATGTCGATTCATCACTTTCGTGGGTTGGCGGTGCCGGGCTGCCGCAACCGGAGGGTGCACTTGCGAAGCTTGCTGCATAGCTATAGCTAGCATAGCTAGTAGCTTCAAATTCGTTGTCCGTTTCTCGCATTCAATATTGGTGCGCATTCTTTATTGGATAGTGCGTATTCTTTACTGGCCATGAATAGGGTACCATGTGTTAAACTATAGGCTATTATAGTTTGATCAGAAGCTTGTAGAAGCGTCCTAATGCACTCTAATTGCCTTGGTAACAATCACTAATGATGTTGATGCAATCAATCAATAATATGTAATGATTTGCGCTCTATTGACCCTTTGTGTCTATTACTCTAGACATGTATGGAAAATGACCATCCCAGGTTCCCACGAGTACTGTTCTGCGCGAGGCGTGAATATAGGTGTCCACTAAATCGCGTCCGAATTTGATTAGCTCCGGAGCAGCTTGGGAACATGCCAGACATCATTCTAATGATGGCTCCATGTTTTATTTTTGCTCCTTTTGCTTCCCTGCTGAGACCGAAGCGTTCCGGTGCCTGTTCCGGCGGTCACAATAGAGGTCAACAGACCTACTAATGGGGCGCTGAACGTGGGAACGTTGCATTGACCGTGGGAGTCGTGCGCTTGTAATGTATGTACAGATTGCTAAACAGTGCTTGCGCACTTTTAGCAATTCTGTCAACACCAGTCATCCCATGATGACCTGGGTTGTCCCAATGGGTGTTGGCAGTGTCTATGGGTGGTCCCCAATGCGTGGGAACCGGGCGCTTAGCGTGCGACCGCACAGCGCAACTTTGTTATACATTTGTACAACAAGTGTGCACATCACTTCAACAGTAGCTACCCGCAGCGGCCTCACTCAGTGGCAGCCGATTCTTACTATCAAAGGGCTTGCCTTTCAGAAACTTACATCAGGCACACTGAATTCGAATCGTCTCCTCCCACGCGACTGCAGGCAATTGCAACACGCCAGTGCCAGCGTTCGTTGCAATTGACTCCCAAACCAGACCCCGGTCTTTTAGCCCTTGCAAATCAACAAAGAAGAACTTTCTTGAGAACACGCGATGATCCCGGTCCTGCTATCTTTCTCAGTATACAAGCAGCCACCACTTCTTCTGGCGGCCGTTCAGAGGCCCCTCTTATCATGGCTTCCCAAGGAAGTCTGGTGAGCCACCCAACCGGCGGGGAGCCTCCTCCACAGACAGACAACGCCAATCAACAAAGAATCCATTCGCTGACCACATTACATGAGATGGACCCTGTCTTCCTCAGTCCCAATTCACGATCACCATCCACTTCTGGCAATTCTGACATGCGGAGGAATTCTCAAAGAAGTCTTGCCAGCCAGACCCAAGCCGCCTCTAACAGCCATTCGCCTGCTGCTGATGCCTACAACTCGATAATCAGTCCAGGTACATATCCTCTATTTATTCGCCCTCCCTGGTTAACTCTTTCTTTCAGAGGTTGCGGGTTCTTTAGGCGTTGCTAGTGACTGCAACAGAGGTTGTAAGTGGATGTGGTTCAATGATGAGTATAATTCATATTGATTGAAGTATGCCTAGCTGGCGCCGCCTCGAATACCCTTAAACTCATTAACGGAATTCTGACCACTTCGTTCACTGCGGCTCACTCTTTAACAACATATGCGATGAGTCCCAAGCACCGAGCGCGAGTCGCTGAAATGATGCCTGGGGCCCTCGACGACTTGCTGGACGAGATAGACATACCACTCCCAGGGTTACAGGCGAATGATCACTCGGTACTATGTGCTGCAAATGAATGGTATAGCTCATTCCAGATGAACATGGAATCAAATTGCGACACTATGGTGGTGGAATCACTGCGTGATCAAGATATCAAAATCAGCTCTCAAGATGATGGATATCCTGGACCTGAAGGGAATTCGCAGAGGGATGAAGAAGGGCAAGCACAGGATGTTCAGATGGGCAAAGAAGGACAAGTACAGGACGGCCAGAGGGGTGGTGAAACACAAGGCGGACAGAGGGACGATGAAAGAGCAGCGGATGGCCAGAGGGGACATGGTGAAGGGCGACCACAGAATGAACAGAGGGTTGGCGAAGAACGAGCGCAGGACGGACACAGGGACAACGAAAGAGGAGCACATGATGACCAGAGGGGTGATGAAGGACAGGATGGACAGAGGGGTGGTGAAGGACGAGCGCAGGGCGGAAAGATGGATGGAGAAGAACTTCCGCAAGATCGATGGAGGGATGAAGAAGATCGTGATCGCCCACAGGGTGGTCCCCCTCAGCAGGACCAGGGGGCGGGTCCTCATGCCGAGTTATATGGTCTCATCCAAGGGTTGGTCGACGAGATGCAGGCAGATCGTCAAATTCTTGTGCAACAAATTGGTATCGGGTTTGAAAGAACGGCAGACCTCATCCAACAGGTTCTAGGACGTCGTGTTGCAGAAGAGACACCAACACCCCCCGTGGCTGGTCGAAGCAAGCGCAGCCAACCAAAGATTACAGGCAATGTGAAGCGAAGGAGTCCAGATGTAACCCTTCTTGCAGTGCGTTAAATGCCCCACCCATTTTCTTTCATTTTGACAACAGCCTATATTTGTAGTCTCAAGTTAGAAAGTTCTTCACAAGCACGTTGCGCTCTCCCACATGTTCGGGTGAAGTTCACCTGAATGGCTGAACAACACCTGAACAACACCTGAACAGAATCTGAACATTGACTGAATTTCTCCACCAAAACTCTTTTTTTTGGTTCAGATTTTGTTCAGGTCACCTGAATTGTTCACCTGAACATTTGGTGAATTCAGGTGAATTTGACAGGTAATGTTCACCTGAATATTCAGGTGGAATACATTAGTACTACTTCTTGTTGCAGGAATTCTTGAATAATGGCTCTTTGTAAGTGGGAAAACTGTTCAAAGAGGTCAACAATACTTCTTCCTAAGAATATCTTTTACTCTGAACACTGTTTTACTAACAAATAGTATATTGTTACAGTGGGAAAATATCACCCAAAATAGAAGTTGTAGAGCCATCTTTTCCGACTCTGCTGGTATAGATAGCATTGTGAGAACTTGACTTATTAGTGAGAAAAATGTAAATTACTTGAAAAAACAGGGAAATTTTTCAGTTTTCTTACTGTATAGACAGGTCTACTACATTTATCAGCAGTTGTTTTGTCAATGCTAAACACTCATTATGCTGAAGAAAGAGTTTCCTGACATTCCCACAGTAACAAGAATTTTCCCATGGTCAGTATTAAACTTAGTAAATACTTTTGGCAAAGACCAAGATACTTTTTGTAGGTATATGAACCTGGTTATGTGACTGTTTGTAGAATTCTCATGAGCTACTTTCATTGTTCTGCAGTAGTTGATAGAAATAGTAGAAACACATAGAAATGACACCATGGATGACAACCATATTGATGAGACCATATTCAGGTGTTGTTTGTATGTGGTTCAGATGATGTTTGGGTAATGTTCATGTAATGTTCAGATGCTGCTCAGATGACATTCATCTGACATTCAGATAGAATTTGGATGATCTCTGTTCACCTGAACATCATCTGAACATCACCTGAACACCATCTGAACATTATCTGAACCTGAACAAAGGCTACAAACAGAATCTGAACATTA